ACAGTTAGGTTTCTTAAAAGGATCACTTGGGCTTTTTTACTTCCCTGAAAAAATGAATTTGTTTGCGTTAAGTTTTAGAAGCAGTAATACATCTGTAAGATTCAGAAATCAAAATATATCAAAAGATTTATGGTGACTCACTCATTCTGTCAATCTCCCCAGCCTCCCAAATATTTCAACCCAATGGGTGTTTCTGTGGAGGGATAAGCCCTGGGAGTTCTCTACTATGCTACTGACCCTGACATCACCCAATTCAATGATTTTAATATATTTACTGAGTTGTGCAACTAACATCACAATCTAATTTTAGAACAATTCATCACTACCCTCCCCCCAACTACAGTCACTCTGCAATACCACCCCCAGCCCCTGGCAAACATTGATCTATTCTACACATTTGCCTTTTCTAGACATTTAATATAAATGGAAGCATACAATGTGTGCTCTTTTGTATTTCTTTCACTGGGCAAAATGTTTTTGAGGTTCATCCATGTTGCAACATATATTGGTACTTCGTTCTATTATTTATTGCTGAATAATATTCTACTGTATGGATATGCCACTTCTGTTTATTTACCAGCTGAAAGACATTTGAGTTGTTTCTACTTTTAGGCTGTTGGGAATACTGCTGCTGTAAACAGTCACATACAAATTTAAAAGCATGTTTTCATTTCTCCTGGGCACATACGGGAGTGATATTGCTGTGGCATATGGTAAGCACATATTCAACTTTATAAGAAACTGCTAATCTAATCTGTTCTCTTTTTTTTTAAGATTTTATTTATTTATTTGACAGAGAGGAGAGAGAGAGAGCACAAGCAGGGGGAGTGGCAGGCAGAGGGAGAGGGAGAAGCAGGCTCCCTGCTAAGCAGGGAACCTGATGCGGGGCTCGATCCCAGGACCCTGGGATCATGACCTGAGCCGAAGGCAGATGCTTAATGGACTGAGCCACCCAGGTGCCCCTCTAATCTGTTTTCTAAAGTGTCTACATTATTTTATATTTCTATCAGCAATATGTGAGGGTCCAATTTCTCTACATAAAGATGTAATACATGAAAATGTCTTTTGGGGAGGAGTTAAGATAGTGGAGGAGTAGGGGACCCTAAGTTCGTCTGGTCCCTGGAATTCAGTAGGTAGTTATCAAATCATTCTGAACACCTGCAAAATCAATCAGAAATCTGAGAAAAGAAATGCTGCAATTTTACAAACAGAAAAGCAACCACCTCTTGGAAGGTAGGAGGTGCAGAGACTTGAATCTGGGGCTAGATAGATAGATAGATAGATACTGCAGCGGGGAGGGAGCTGGCTTAAGGAGGCTACCGCAAAGTATTATAAGTAATGGAGTGAAAAATCGGAACTTGTAGAAATCTGCTACAGTGGGGGACGTCCCTGGCTTAATGGTGCTCAGGTAGCTAAGTGGGGCAGAATCCCAGGTGGGACAGCGTGGTCTCAGTATCCCATGAGGTCACAGGAAGAATGGAGATGCCTGAGTGGGGCAGAGTTCCCATGTATAAGAGCAGGGAAGCCGGCTGAAAAGAGCGAGTCTAGGTGCAGGCTTTCTGCTCTGTGTTGCTATAAACTGTGAAGTGCTGCACGATTTTGTGACATCTCTCCTAGCAGGGGCCCAGCAAAAGGCAGAAGCAATGGTGAGACCCCCCCCCCCTCCCCTGGGAGGAACAGCGTGGGTCTGCACTGCAAGAGTCCTTATAATTTGGAGTCTTGAAACTCAGTAGTGTGCCTGAGATAAAAACGCTTGGTTACAGCCTGGGTGAACACAGAGTTCCCATGGAAACCAGGGAGACCAGAGTGATTGACTGCTTTTCTGTGAGGGCTCACTGAAGAGTAGGGGGTACAAACTTTCAGCTCTGGGGCTAGAGAGTGGGGTGCCACCATTTTCATCCTGCCCATTGGTGCTTAAAACCTTCGGGGAGCAAAACAGCGCCACAGAGTGGAATCTGGGGACTCTTACACTGAGCCTGGCCCCCTGGCAAGGGAGGTGCTTTTCCACAAGGGTAAGGCACCTGAGAATCAGCGCAACAGGCTCCTCCCCCAGAAGACCAGCAGGAACAACTGGCTAGCACCAAGTTTACTGATCATAGAGAACTGCAAAGCTTCAGCTTTTGGGGAAAACAATATATAGCATTCCTGGGTTTTTTTTATTCTTTAGTCTCAGTATTATTTTTTCAGCTATTTTTTATTTTTTCAATTCTTTCTTTATTCTTTTTAAGTTTTTATGTATATATTATATTATATATATTTTACTTTTGGTTTCCTTTCATTGTATTTTATTTTATTTTTGTATATATATAAGTTTTTTGTCCTTCCTATTTTGGGATCTGGTTTCTTTTAACAAGCAGACTAAAACATACCCAGGATCTAGTTTTTTGTTTTGTTCTGTTTTGTTTGTTGATTTTTTTCTTATTTTGTTTTGTTTTTGTTTTTTCTTTTTTTTCTGTTGTTGTTGTTATTGTTGTCTTTTCTCTTTCTTCTATTCTTTTCTGGACAAAATGACGAGATGGAGAAATTCATCCCAAAAGAACGAACAGGAAGTAGTACTCACTGCCAGGGATTTAATCAATAAGGATATAAGTAAGATGTCTGAACTAGAATTTAAAACAATGATTATAAAGATACTAGCTGGGCTTAAAAAAAGCATAGAAGACACTAGAGAATCCCCTTCTGGAGGAATAAAAGAACTAAAATCTAGTCAGGACAAAATTAAAATGCTCTTACTGAGATGCAGTCCCAAATAGAAGCTCTAAAAGCAAGGATAAATGAGACAGAAGAGAGAGTCAGTAATATAGAAGATAAAATGATGGAAAATAAGGAAGCTGAAAAGAAGAGAGAAAGACAATTACTGGATCACGAAGGGAGACTTTGAGAACTCAGCAATTCCATAAAGCGAAATCATATCCAGATAATAGGGGTCCCAGAGGATGAAGAGAGGAAGAGATGGGCAGAAGGTTTATTTGAACAAATTATAGCTGAAGCTTCCCTAATCTGGGGAAGGAAACAGGCATTCAAGTCCAGGAGGCACAGAGATTCCCCCCCTCAAAATCAATAAAAATATGGCAACACCTTGACATATAATAGTGAAGCTTACACATTTCAAAGATAAAGAGAAAATCCTGAAAGCAGCTCAGGACAACAGGTCCTTAACTGACAAGGGTAGACACATAAGGCTGGCAGCCGACTTGTCCACAGAGACCTGGCAGGCCAGAAAGGACTGGAATGATACATTCAATGTGCTAAATGGGAAGAATATACAGCCAAGAATACTTTATCCAGCAAGGCTGTCATTCAGAATAGGAGAGATAAAGAGTTTCCAGGACAAACAAAAACTAAAGGATTATAACAATTCCTTTTTTAAAAAAGATTTATTTATTTATTTTAGAGAAAGAGAGTGCATGCACATGAGTGGGGCGAGGGGCAGAGGGAGAGGAAGAGGGAGAGAAGCAGACTCCCTGCTAAGTGTGGAGCCCGCCCTTAAGATTATAACCATCATCAGTAATTAACAAAATAAGAAGGTAGAAAATTAGTAAATATATATAAGACCTGATCAAATCTATCAACAAATTTGACCTAATGGACATTTATAGACTACTCCCCCCAATAGCAGAATGCATATTCTTTTCCAATGTACCTGAAACATTCACTAAGATAGACTATATGCTAATGCATGAAAGGAATCTCAATTAATTTTGAAAAATATTAAATCATACACATATTCTCTGACTACAATGGAATTAAATTGAAGTCAACAACAAAAAGCTACCTGCAGTCCTCCAAAATTGGAAAGTTAAATAGCACACTTATAAATAAGCCATGGCTCAGAGAAAAATTTGCAGGGAAATTAGAAACTCTTTTGAACTCAATGAACAGCAACACATAAATATAAAAAATAATGTATAGGGGCACCTGGGTGGCTCAGATGGTTAAGCATCTGCCTTCGGCTCAGGTCATGATCTCAGGGTCCTGGGATCGAGTCCCACATCGGGCTTCCTGCTCCTTGGGAGCCTGCTTCTCCCTCTGCCTCTCTCTCTCTCTGTCTCTCATGAATAAATAAATAAAATCTTAAAAAAAAAATAATGTATAAAAATTTGTGGGGCACAACTAAAGCAGTGTTTAGAGGGAAATTTATAGCTATAAACAATAAAGAAAAGTAATGAAGCAAAACACTGGTTCTTTTAAAAATCAATCAAATTGATAAATCTCTAGATTAGACTGTTTAAGAAAAAGAGGAAAAAGCATAAATTATCAATATCAGGAATGAGAGATTGTATTATTACAGACCATACACTCCTTTACTGTATAATCAGGGAATATTACAATTCTATGCCAACATATTTTATAAATTTAGATGAAATGGATAAATTCCTTGAAAGACAAAATTACTCAAACACAAGAAGAAATATAAAATCTGAATAGATATATATTGAATTTTAATTGAATTTGTTATTAAATTCCTTTCCACTAAGAAAATGCCAAGGACAATTTTCTTCACTGATGAATCCTATCACACATTTAAATAAGAATAATAATTCTGTGCCAAATCATTCAGAAAATATAGGAAATGTGACCACTTCCTAACTCACTTTATGAGTCCCACATTACCACGGTACTAAAACCAAGCAAAGTCATTATAGGAAGGAAAAATACTACAGAAAAAATCCCTCATGGACATTCAAGGAAAATTCTTAACACTGCACGCCAAATCCATCAATATATAACAAAGAATAATACATTATGAACATTTATGGTTTAACCCAGGAATGCTAGATTGATATAACATTCAATAATCAGTCAGTTTAATTCAGGATAATAACAGTAATGGAGAAAAATGAGACCATCTCAATAGATACATAAAAGCATTTCACATAATTTAATATATATTTACAATAAAAACTTTCAGCGAACAGAAAATAGAAGGCAACACCATAAACTTGATAAATAGCTATACAAGCTAACATTATTATTATTCTTTTTAAATTGCTACCAAGTTTACTATGTTTTTCACAATATAGTGCTTCAGGACTTTTTAATGTAAATAAATATTTTTGATTAACTAATTTTCAAAATAATGATACAAATTTAGCATTCTTCTTGGAATGGAAAATTTGCTTGGAGATTACTTCATTCTTTTTCTCTTTTTCAAAAGTGCATCTCGTAGTGCCAGCTGCTTTTCTCAGAAGGAGCACTTGTTTTTTGACCGGACATTATGGGCTATATCGCATCACCATAAAGTTCTTCTGTTTTTTCTTCTCTTTATTTGTGGAACTGGAAAATGGGTTCATTTTGGTTTTCTTCCTCACAAATTCTTTTCAATCTGTCTTTCCAGCCATTGCCGTTGCTAGTCTTGTCTCCTTGTCAGACTTTGGCTTCTTATGAAGGCGTTCAATGTCCCGAAGAGAAAGTAACTCACCCCTGGGATCCTCATCACTATCAATTTCAATATATTTCCTCTTTTGGGCTTTCCCTGGGGCAGCGTCGAGTTCTTTCCTCATTTGGGCCATGCGGATTTTCTGGAAGTCTTCCTGAGTTAAAACTTGGCTCGTGCTAATGGCTGCAGCTTTGGGTTTCCGCTCCTCCATGGGCATGCTGTTGAGCTTCTTGGATATTTCTTGCTGTTCTTCATCAGAAGAGCAGTGCACATCAACCCACTCACCATCGGCATCTGCCTCCTCACTGAGATTAGTACTTTCCCACCCATCTTCATCGTTTTCAGCATCCTCTTCTTTTTCAACTTCTAGAATTTCTGCTCCTGGAATGTAATTTTTAGCATCTAATTCTCCATATTCTTGCACTCTTGCTTCTATGGAAGCCCCTGTAGGCTTACCCCGGAATTTCTTCTGCAACATCTTAGGATTCAGTGTTCGGAAGAGTTGAATCAAAGTTCTAGCAGACATCATCACATTCTTACCTGTGTGTTTTATACTGAGCCAGGTCTTGGAGAAGTTCTTCAGTCACGGCTAGAGGACATTGAGCTCTTACCTCTTTTATAGCATTGATTCCTACTGTCATGACCTCCCCAGAGTTCTTGTTGGTGACAAAATTGTTGGCCACAGTCATGAGCACTGACTGAATGATCTCTGGGGGTACTAAGTGATGAGATGCTTGGGCAGCAAACAGAAAGATCTTTGTTACTTCTCTTTGGTGGGGCTGCAGAAACCTTTGCACAAATGGATAGAAGAGAAAAAGCTTGTGAACTCCCACCAATCTCGAGATGAGGTTCATGAGCATCATTTTCACCTCAAACCTCTCCATAGAGCTCTCTAGCTGCTTTAGTAGTTTTTCTGCAAAATCTTGGGGATCATGAATCAAATGAATAGCTGAAAAGTTAAAGACCTCTGATTTCTTCTTCTTTTTTTGTTTCTTGAGCACTTTCATAGCCTTTTCCAACCTTTTCTTGTGTTTGGAGCTTTTCTTCCCTGTGGCATATTGCACTAGCAGGTCTCTTGCTGTTGGTCCTTCATCCTCAGATTCTGAGTCGCTGTCCTGTTTTTCCTCTTCATCTTTCCCAAGGAAAAATATCAAAGCAGCAACTAATATCTTGGTGACCTTAGAGAAACATGCAGTTGTGATCACATTGACAGTTTTGGCATCATTCCAGATGTTTCTTCTGTAGAGTTCAATCATCACATCCAAAGATATCTTGGCTGCAGTTGCATTGCTATCTCTTAACATGGTGTACATGAAATTCTGCAACACTATATTCACTTTATTGTTCTTGTGTTTTGCATTTATATTCTTGATATCAGTGACAATATGTGTGTATAAAGTCTTTCGCAGAAGCTTATCAGGGCAACGCAGAAGCTCAAAGAAGAGTTCTAGCAAACTTGATGGATTGATGAGATTCTTATTTCTCAGCAAGATCAAAGCTTTGCAAAATGTCATTCGAAGATCTGGATCCAAGACAGTGTGATTATAGGAGAGAAGATCTTTCAGCTCTTGAGGAAAATTACTTAAATGTTCTGGATAGCAGTGACCAATCTGTGCCATAAACATCACCAGCTCTGCCAGTTCTTTGCTAGGTTTGTTTGGTTGTAATTTGAAAATCTCCACATTGGATTTGTAGTGATTATACTGCTGTAGAAACTCCTCAACGTAGGCTGGCAGATCCCACTTGATCAGATTCTGTAGCTGCGGCAGGTTGCTGGGCAGCTTGTTATTGTTTCTGTTAGACATGTTGGCTGCTGACTGGCTCTGCAGGGAACAGTTTTAAGAAACCCCACACCACCGGCAACCACCAACCGTGTTGGCTGCGTGTGTTAACATTATTTTTAATGGTGAAATATTGGGTACTTTCCCCCTAAGACCAGAAACAAGGAAAGCAAGCCTGCTCTCATCACTTCTAATCAATATTTTTAGGAGATACTAACCAGCTAAACAAGGTAACAGAAAGGGGGAAAAGGTATCCATTGGAAAGAAAGAAGTTAAACTCTCTTTATTGACAGACAACATGATTTATGTATAACTCTAAGGAATTAGTTCTAATAGCTACTAAATTATATCTACAACCAAAAGATTTCAGTATATAAGATCAATACACAAAAATCAATTGTATTCTATGCTAGTAAACAATGAACAGTTGGAAAATTAAAAAATGGAAAAGTTATCACTTAAAATTGTATTAAAAACATGAAATAATTTGGGATAAATTTTACAAAGTATATATAAGTCCTGTATACTAAAAATTATAAAACTCTGCTAAGTGAAATTAAAGAAGACTAAATAGATGGAGAGATATAGGATAAACAGACTGGAAGACTAAATATTATTTAAATGACAATCCTTCCTAAATTGGTCTATATATTCAATATAGTTTCAATCAAAATCTCAGCAGGACTTTCCAAAGAAATTGATAACTTAATTCTAATACTTATATGGAAATTCAAAGGTCTCAGGGTAGCCAAAACAATTTTGGAAAAAAAAAAAAAAAGCAAAGATAGAGGACCCATACTGCTTTACTTCAATACTTGCATGAAAGAAACATGAAAGCAACAATAATCAAAACATTGTGGTATTTGATGGTGTAAGAATATACATTTAGATGAATGGAACAGACTAGACCCACATACATATGGTTGGTTGGGTTTCAATGTCAATTCAGTGGGGAAAGGATAATCTTTTCATCAAAAGTTCTTGAACAATTGTCTATCAATATCAATAAAGATGAACCTCAACCCTTAACTCATCATATAAACAAAAATTAACTAAAAGTAGATTATAAAACTACTCATAAAATGTAAGCTATAAAACTTCTAGAAGAAAGTATAGCAGAAAATCTTTGCAAACATGGAGTAAACAAAAATTTCTTACATAGGACACAAAACCCACAAACAGTAAAAGAAAAAGTTGGTCAAATGGATTTTAATTAAAATTAAAAGACAAGTTACAGACTGGAAAAGAATACTTATAATACATATATAGGACAAAGGACTTATGTGATGGTTAATTTTGTGTCAACTCGATAGGGCCAAGGAGTACCCAAGTATTCGGTCAAACATTCTGAATGTGTTTGTGAGGGTATTTCTGGATAAGCTGAACATTGATAGACCGAGTAAAGCAGATTCCTGCTCCCCCTCCTACCTGCCAATGTGGGTAAGCTTCATCCATTCAGTTGAAAGCCTGAATAGAACAAAAGGGCTGACCCTACGTTGAGTAAGAGTGAATTTTTCTTGCTTTTGAATTCAAATTGAAACATTGGCTCTTCCTGGACATTAAGCCTGCTGGCCCTCTGACTGGAACTATATCATTGGCTCTCCTAGGTCTCCAGTTTGCCAACTGCAGACCTTGGGACTTGCCAATCTCCATAATTTCATGAGCCAAACATTACAATAGCTAAATAAATATAAATACAAATACAAATATAAGTATAAATACAGACATACCTCATTTTATTGTGCTTTGTTTATTGTGCTTCACAGATAATTGTGTTTTTTACAACTGAAAGTTTGTGGCAATCCTTCATGGAGCAAGTCTATTGGTACCATTTTTTCCAATAGCATTTGCTCATTTTGTGTCTCCATGTCACATTTTTGGTAATTCTCGTAATATTTCAAACTTGTTCATTACTGTTGAATTTGTTATGGTGATCTGTGGTCAGTGATCTTTGATGTTACTGTTGTAATCGTTTTGGGGCACCATGAACGATATAAGATGGAGAACTTAATCAATAAATGTGTGTTCTGACTGCTCCACGGACTGGCAGTTCTCCCATTTCTCTTCTTCTCCATGGCCTCCCTATTCCCTAAGACACAACAGTATTGAAATTGGGCCAAATATAAAAAAGAATGAAATCTTTCCATTTGCAATGATGTGGATGGAGCTGGAGAGTATTATGCTAAAGTGAAAGTCAGAGAAAGACAAATTTAACTCATGATTTTACTCATGTGGAATTTAAGAAACAAAACAAACAAACATTAGAGGGAAAAAAAAGAGAGGAAAACCAAAAAACAGGTTCTTAACCGTAAAGAACAAACTGATGGTTACCAGAGGGGAGGTAGCTGGGGATATGGGTTAAATAGGTGATGGGGATTAAGGAGTGCACTTGTGATGAGCACCAAGTGTTTCATGTATAAGTCATGAATCACTAAATTCTACACCTGAAACTAATATTACACTGTATGTTAACTAACTGAAATTTTTTTTTTTAAAGATTTTATTTATTTATTTGAGACAGAGAGAATGAGAGACAGAGCATGAGAGGGAGGAGGGTCAGAGGGAGAAGCAGACTCCCTGCCGAGCAGGGAGCCCGATGTGGGACTCGATCCCGGGTCTCCAGGATCATGACCTGAGCCGAAGGCAGTCGCTTAACCAACTGAGGCACCCAGGCGCCCCAACTAACTGAAATTTAAATAAAAACTCAGAAGAAAAAAAAGAAATTGGGCCAATTAATAACCCTACAATAGCCATTAAGTGTTCAACTGAAGGAAGAGTCATACATTTCTCTCTCAAAACCAAAAGCTAGAAATGATTAAGTTTAGTGAGGAAGGCCTGCCAAAAGCCAAGACAAGCCAAAAGCTAGGCCTTTTGTGCCAAACAGTCAAGATGTGAAGGCAAAGGGAAAATTCTTGAAAAATTAAAAGTGCTCCTCCAGTGAATACATGAATAAGAAAGTGAAACAACCTTCCTGCTGATATGGAGAAAGTTTTAGTGGTCTGAATAGAAGATCAAACCAGCCGTAACATTCCCTTAAGCCAGAGCCTAATCCAGAGCAAGTCCCTAACTCTCTTCAGTTCTATGAAGGCTGAGAGGTGAGGAAGCTGCAGAAGAAAAGTTGGAAGCTAGCAGAGGTTGGTTCATGGGGTTTAAGGAAAGAAGTCGTCTCTACAGCATAAAAGTACAAGGTAAAGCAGCAAGTGCTGATGGAGAAGCTGCAGCAAGTTATCCAGAAGATCTAGTTAAAATAATTAGAAAAGGTGGCTACACTAAACAGCAGATTTTCAGTGTATAAAAAACAACCTTGGCGCCTGGGTGGCTCAGTTGGTTAAGCGACTGCCTTCGGCTCAGGTCATGATCCTGGAGTCCCTGGATCGAGTCCCGCATCGGGCTCCCTGCTCGGCGGGGAGTCTGCTTCTCCCTCTGACCCTCCCCCCTCTCATGTGCTCTCTCTCTCTCATTCTCTCTCTCTCAAATAAATAAATAAAATCTTTAAAAACAAAACAAAACAAAAACAAAAACAAAAAAACCAACCTTATATTGGAAGAAGATGCCATCTAGGACTTTCATAGCTAGAGAGGAGAAGTCAATGCCTGGCTTCAAAGCTTTAAAAGACAGGCTATCTTGTTAGGGGCTAATGCAACTGGTGACCAAGTTGAAGCCAGTGCTCATTTACCATTCCAAAAATCCTAGGGCCCTTAAGAATTATGCTAACTCTACTCTGCGTGTGCTCTATAAATGGAACAAAGCACAGATGACAGCATATGTGTTTACAACATGGTTTACTGAATAAGCCCACTGTTGATACCTATTGCTCAGAAAAAAAGATTCCTTTCAAAGTATTACTTCTCACTGATAATGCACTTGGTCACCCAAGAGCTCTGATGGAGATGTATAAGATTAATGTTTTCTCATGCCTGCTGACACAACATCCATTCTGCAGTCCATAGATCAAGGAGCAATTTTGACTTTCAAGCCTTAGTATTTAAGAAATACATTTTGTAACGCTATTATTTGCCATAAGATTATGATTCTTCTATTGGATTTTGGCAAAGTAAATCTTCTGTAAAGAATTTACCATTCTTAGAAACAACATTTGTGATTCATGGGAAGAGGTCAAATATCATCACTAACAGGAGTTTGGAAGAAGTTGATTCCAACCTTCATGGATGATTTTGAGGGGTTCAAGACTTCAGTGCAGGAAGTAACTGCAGATGTGGTGGAAAAAGCAAGAGAATTAGAAGTGGAGCCTGAAGATGGGACTGAATTGCTGTAATCTCATGATGAAACTTTAATGGATGAGGAGTTGCCTTTTTTTTTTTTCTTTTTAAGTAGGCTCCATGCCCTGCATGAAGCCCAATATGGGGCTTGAATTCATGACCCTGAGACCAAGACCTGACCTAAAATCAAGACTCAGACACTCAACCAACTGAGCCACCCAGGCACCCCGAGGACTTGCTTCTTATGGATGAGCAAAGAAAGTGGTTTCTCGAGATGGAATCAAATCCTGGTGAAGATGCTGTGAAGATTGTTGAAATGAAAAAAATATCAGAATATTACATAAACTTAGTTGATAAAACAGAAGCAGAATTTGAGAGGACTGACACCAATTTTGAAATAAGTTCTACCATGGGTAAAATGCTATCAAATAGCATCATATGTTACAGAGAAATCATTCATGAAAGGAAGATGAGGCAAACTTCATTGTCTTATTTTAAGAAATTGCCACAACCAACCCATCTTTGAGCAGCCACCACCCTGATCGGTCAGCAGCCATCAATATCGAGGACTAGCCAAAAGATAATAGCTCACTGAAAGCTCAGATGATGGTTAGCAATTTTTAGCAAAAAAGTATTTTTATTTTTATTTTTTAGCAATAAAGTATTTTATTTTTTTAAAGATTTTTATTTATTTATTTGACACAGAGAGAGACAGCAAGAGAGGGAACACAAGCAGGGGGAGTGGGAGAGGGAAAAGCAGGCTTCCTGCTGAGCAGGGAGCCCGATGCAGCACTCTATCCCAGGACCCTGGGATCATGACCTGAGCCAAAGGCAGACGCTTAACAACTGAGCCACCCAGGCGCCCC